ATCCCAGCCATGCACGGGGGCTCACACCTGTCATCTCAGCCATGCACGGGGCTCCCACCTGTCATCTCAGCCATGCACAGGGCTCACACCTGTCATCCCAGCCATGCACGGGGCTCACACCTGTCATCCCAGCCATGCACAGGGCTCACACCTGTCATCCCAGCCATGCACGGGGGCTCCCACTTGTAATCCCAGCCATGCACGGGGGCTCACACCTGTCATCTCAGCCATGCACGGGGCTCCCACCTGTCATCTCAGCCATGCACAGGGGCTCCCACCTGTCATCCCAGCCATACACGGGGCTCACAGTTGTCATCCCAGGGCTCAGGAGGTTGGGACAGGAGAAGCAGCAGCTTTGAAAGCTGCACAGTGAGTTTCAGAACACCCTAGGATACAGAGTAAGACCTGGTCTCAATAAAGTCTAAAAGAAAATGTCAAGAGCATGATCAGTGAGGGCCCAAATCTGAGCCGCTGTGTCATGTGATGACTGTCCTAGTGCTGGCCTTGATGGCCACCAACTTAGCCACACGGAGAGCACCAAACTCCAGGGAGAGATTGTCTCTAAAGCTAATGTGAATGACTCCTGAGGAATGACACCTTCTTTTTTGGTTTTTCGAGACAGGGTTTCTCTGTGTAGTCCTGGCTGTCCTGGAACTCACTCTGTAGACCGGGCTGGCCTCAAACTCAGAAATCCTCCTGCCTCTGCCTCCCAAGTGCTGGGATTAAAGGCATGCACCACCACCGCCCGGCTGGAATGACACCTTCAATCGACTTCGGGCCTCTGAATACGCTCACGTGTAATTTTACTGAGCACGCGCAGACCTCTTTTCTTGTAGGTGTCTAAATAGTAACTCCCTACCTGCACTTAGTGATGGGGGGCTGATTTAAGGGGCATGGGAGGGTGATCTTGTGCTCTACACAGACACAGTCCTGACTAAGAGGAGCCTTCTGCAGGCTAGAGAGACAGATGACTCAGTGTGCTTGTACAAAGGACCTGACTTCAGTTCCCAGCACCATGTTGAGTGGCTCCTAGCTGCCTATAACACCTGTGCCACAGGATCTGAACCCTCTTTTGACCTTCCAGGGCAGCTGTGGACACATCACTTAAAATAAAAATGACCCTTTATCTTTTACTGTTGTTTAGAATGGGTATGTTTTATAATTTTTGCTGGAAAGCTTAATTTCCAGTACATCGGAGACTTGCCTGTGGGAAAGACCTATTCTAAAAGTTCAAGATAAAAATGTCTGGACCAGAGGACAGAGTTTCATGAGGGTTTGTGGGAAGAAATTAAGTGTCCCTGCTTCCTGACTGGGAGGTTCCCCTGATCCCCTAACCTGTCTGAGTGTAGGTTTTTGTGTACACTGGAGTGTGCACTGGAGGATTGTGTGGCCTTGTAATAGCTGTTAGGCATGGCATGTGTGCAGTGCATGTGTTTGGTGCACTTTATTGACTTTAGTTTGTTTGTTGGAGGTGAACTTTTTTCTTATTTGCACTTTCCTGGGCCTTCCCATTCCCTGCTTTTAAGTTGGCCTTTCCTGGCTCCAGCCCTGTAGTTTTGCTTTTGTTTTGTTTTTTGTTTTTTGGTTTTTTTTTGTTTGTTTGTTTTTTAAAGAATTATTTATTTTATGTATATGAATACATCACCACCATCTTTACACACACCAGAAGAAGAAATTGGATCCTATTACAGATGGTTGTGAGCCATCATGTGGTTGCTGGGAATTGAACTCAGGACCTCTGGAAGAGCAGTCAGTGCTCTTAACCACTGAGCCATCTCTCCAGCCCGTAGTTTTGCTTTTGTACTGTTGAATGTCAAACCCAGGGCCAAGTGATCACTCCGTCCCTGAGCTCTCAGCCTCGCCTGTGTGGTTTGGTTGGTTGGTTGTTTGGTTGTTTGCTTAATGTGCATTGGAATTTTCCCTGCGTGTATGTGTGTCAGATCCTCTGGAGCTCGAGCTACAGACAGTTGAGAGCCGCCATGTGAATGCTGGGAATTGAACCCAGGTCCTCTGGAAGAGCAGCCAGTGCTCTTACCTGCTGAGCCATCTGTCCGGCCCCACCTGTATGGTTTCTGATAGTGACCTACTTTGGCTTGTTTTATCCTAACTACATGACAAGGTGGAGAGGGATCGTTGTCTGACAAAATTGGGGCTGTGTGAGAGATAGATCCTTCTCTGTGTGAGAGATAGATCCTTCTCTGTGTGAGAGACAGATCCTTCTCTGTGTGAGAGATAGATCCTTCTCTGTGTGAGAGA